AAAGAAAGGGAAAGGAGCAGGAGTGGGCAAAGAAAGGAGTATGGTGCTGATTCAGGCCCAGTGACAGCCATGGGCCAACATCCTGGGAGCTCCGGAGCTAGAAGGACCCTGCAGAACCGTCCCAAGTTGAGGTGAGAACGTCAGACCCTTACACCTCTCTCCTCCCTCCGCCTCCTCATTGATCAGTCGCTGGTTGTAGGCCACCTTGGAAAGGGGACTTGGGGGAGGTGACTCTCTTCAGCAGAGGAAATCCCCCAAGAGGCAGATACTTGAGGGCTGCCTGCCATCCCCAGGGGGGGGCATCACAGCGCTACCACAATGAGTCCCTTGGGCAGGGTAGTTACTATAAAGAGAAGGAACCAGGACTCTCATCCTGGAAGTCTGATTTCGCAGCTGACCAATTCCAGCCATTAATGCTCTATTGTTTCTTTTCAAATATCTGTAATTTTGATGGGCATGAGGGGCATGGAGTAGAAGAGCAAGGTGGGAGTGGGTAGACAGTTTTGCAAGTCAATTTTAAACATGTGCTCCTCTCTGTATTTGGAGGAGACCAAGGTCGAGTAGGTCATACAACTGATCCTTGAGGGAAAAAACAAGGCATCAACTTTTATCTTCCCTTTGTTCTTGCTGTAGTTTTGGTGCCCGCCTTCCCCTTTGTGCCCCTGCCTGACACCCTTACCTGAGCTAGTTCCTGCCAGTATTCCTAAAAAGAACTCATTCTGAATAGAGCCTCAAAGTCTCTTTGCTCAACCTCTATAGCAAATGGGGAGCTTGAGGTTCACAGAAGTGGTGATGGTGGGGAATCCGCTTTCCCAACGCCCAAACTTCACCCCAGGCTCACCTCCCATGGTTGTCCTTGTAGAAGTCCAGTGAAAACCCAAAGTGGCTGCCATTGGGGCCCGTGTACAAGGTGAGTTGCACTGGGTCCAGGTTCAAGGCCCAGGCTGGAGGGATGGGACCAGGTCCCAAGAGCAGCTGCACCCACTCCAGAAGCCAGAGGGCATGAAGTGGACACACAGCTCTGGCCATCTTCCTTCTCCCACAACCTCCTAGGCAGGAATGGGTGAGCTCCTTCCTCTTCCTTTCAGTCTCCACCACAGGAAGCCTTTTCTTATCAAACTGGAACCCACTTGCTGAGCAGTAGGCAGAGGAAAGAGCCATATGGTTTCTTGGATTGCCAGAAAGGGGGGTGAGGCCACCCTGGGGGGTGGATGCTAATGACTGAAAGCCATGACTCCTCCCTTTTCCTGAGAGTAGTACTAATCACCAAGTCCTGTTGGTTCTGCCTCTCAACTGTGTCTCTTGAATCTTCACATTTCCACTCCCACCATGCTAGTCTAAGCCACCATTCCTTTCTGCTTGGGGTAGCATAACCATGAACTGGTCCGTATACCTCCACTCTAGCCGTTTTACAGCTCTTCGTCCCCACCTCACAGCTGCCTGCATTGCTGTGGCCCACTGTGACTTGGTCAGAGGTGGAGGAAGGAGGAAAGAAGCTGCTCTCCCCTGATAAGACTTGAGGCTGCTATATCCTTTTGGATAAGGCACTTACCCACTTCCTCCTTCCAGGGTCTTGGTCACCCATATTGGTGTAGCAAGCTGCTTCATTCTCCCTCCATCTCAGGCCGAGTCTTAGTGTGGCCACAGCAACGCAGCTGGTGCTGGTGAAGGGGTGGTGAAGGGGAAAGGAAGTGGGGATACAGTGGAGTCCAGGGTATTCTGGTTCACAGGCTCTGGGACTATATACCAGTGGTTCAGTTGAAGGCAGACCCTCACTCTTTCTTGGGTGACAGAGCTCTTGTCCACTCAAGACTTGATTCTAGTGGGGTCATTGCCTAGGGGAAGCCTCCCTTGATTCCTCAGGCTGGCACTCTGGAGTTGACACATGTGGGCACAGCACCGACCACAGTGTTTAGTCAGGGTCCATTCATAGACATAATCGTGTCCATGACTCCCTTGAGAGCAAGGCTCCTTTCTGTGGCCCCAGGGTCTAGCCAAGAGCCCAACACCTAGTAGGTATTGCTGACAGACGGACTGAATGGGAGCATGCACTGAGGATGGAAGATGCAAACACGGAGTCACAGTGGAACGAGAATAGTTTTGAGCAGAAAGGCACGGTAATTTTCTCTGGATGACAAGAGGAGTGCCAAGTCTTATTGGCACTGCAGGTCTTCCCCAAAAAAGCAGGTTCTCAGGAAGGAAATTCAAGAGATCTGCTCAGGGTAAAGGAAGACCGCCACATCCTCCTTTTACTCTTTATTTTCTAACCAAACTTAACCACCATCTTATCCTGCCCAGCTATCCTTTTTTTTTTTTTTTT